TTTAAGGATGCGAAATAAACATGATTCCCTTACTTTCTCACGTGAGGTCTTTGAGAATTCAAAAGATGATTCCACTTAATGGCACTATGTAAAGGAGAGGTTATGATAAGGACTTTAGGTCAGGTACCCTGGGCTGGAAGGCAGATTTGCAGTGTGACCATAAGTTACCTCGGATCAGCTACCTAACCAGTCTGAGCCTCAGGGGTAATACAGTACCAGCGCCACAGATGTGAATGAAGTGTAACTGTTTAGATGGTGAAAGCCTAATATGTAGTTTTAATAAGGTAGAGTAATGTAGAAATCATTCAACTTTAAAATACTAAAGCCTGTTCACTCTCCTCCTAGTATTAACCATGACCTAATTCTGTCCCTTTAACATAACTATAAATTGCTAAAATATATGTATAAATAATATATATTTATATAGATCCATAATTGTAAACCCCAGAAAGTTCAGAAAAGTATGTTTATAATCTGTCCTAATCCGGGGCACCTGGGTGGCTCAGTCGGTTAAGCGCCTGACTTCGGCTCAGGTCATGATCTCGCAGTTTGTGAGTTCGAGGCCCGCAACGGGCTCTGTGCTGACAGCTCAGAGTCTGGAGCCTGCTTCTGATTCTGTGTCTCCCTCTCTCTCTGTCCCTCCCCTGCTCATGCGCTGTCTCTCTCTCAAAAATAAATAAATATTTTTTTTAAAAAAATCTGTCTTAATCCTACTTAGTATATTGTTAAGTCAGTTACACATTGGATTGTTGGAGTACCCTCCAGACCTGTTGAGGGTGTTATGTAATCTCGTGTATATTGTCTTTGTACCAACCTGAAAATTTCTCAAAACATTTATGATGCCACAGACTTTAGATATGGGGCAGTAGAAACATAGATAAGTTAGCAAATGGTTGTTATAATTTTAAATTCTTATTTCAAAGATATGTTCATAATGTTTCAATTACTTTTACACGTTTTTCATACAAAATATGAGAGAAATACCCATTTATCCTGTGACCTTCCACCCTTAGATATGTATTCAAGAAATGGGGGTGGAGTAGGGGAGGACTCTATTCACAAAATTACCTTGTATGAGAATTTTCATAGTGGGCTTTTTCACAATATCCCAAAATGTTCATTGTCCCAGTGTCCATTGCAGAGGAGTGGATAAGCAAATGAAACCCTACCCAGCTGTCAAAACAGGTGAACTTCTAATACACACAACAGTGGAGGCGTTTTATAAATATGCTGAGGGAGAGAAGCTAGACACACAAAGTGTGTCTGATTCCATTGTGTGAAATTCTAGGGTAGGCACAACTAAACTGGTAATAAAAATCAGATCGGTGGTTTCAGGAGGGACCTTGAGTGAGAAAAGAGGCACAAGGGAACTTGTGAGTAGGTAGAAATGTTCTGTGTCTTGATGTACATTTCTCAACACTGATTGAATTTTGCACTTAAGATCTTAAGATTTCACTGCATATAAGTTATACCTTGAATTTTATTTTAAAAAAAAATGTTAATGTTTTATTTATTTCTGAGAGACAGAGACAGCGTGAGCAGGGGAGGGGCAGAGAGAGAGGGAGATACAGAATCCGAAGCAGCTACATGTTCTGAGCTGTCAGTGCAGAGCCCGACGCGGGGCTCGAACCCATGAGCTTTGAGATCATGACCTGAGCCAAAGTCAGATGCCCAACTGACTGAGCCTCCCAGGCGCCCCATATACCTTGAATTTTAAAACACAGAGCAAATACTTGAGAAGTTAAAAAGTTCAAGATGGACCACTTGGATTCAGCCTTATAAAATACTCTTTCATGACTTAGGTTTGGATAAGGACAGACGCTTTTTTTTACAGAAGGAAAGTTAGAGTTCCATCTGTGTACAAGCGTTTATCCCTGAGCCGGCTCCTACAAAATGCCCGTTGAAATGTCTAGAGTTAAGATGTATGATTTCAGGATGCCGTATGTGATCAGCTTTTATCTTTGAGAGAAGAGGAAAAGTCCCATAAACTCCTGGCATGAAGCATGGCTGGTAGAAGCTCTAGAGCAGGGCCTCTGGACTAGAGAAAAAGACAAGTGAAATTACCTGTGAAACCAGCACATTTTCTTATCTGAACTTAATTTGAAAGAGAGATGGCATACACCTTCCACAGCATTCAGTTTCCTTGGACCCAAAGGTTGAAATAACACTTCTTTGTGAGAGTAATTCTGTAATGAACTCTGCAAACTCTTGAGACACAGCATTGTGCTCTGAGTACAGAATCGGGGGGGGTGGGGGGTCGGTGACGTGGGGACAGGAGATGAAGACAGCAGAGCGAAGCTCATGCTGGAGCGAGACCACCAGGTTCAAGTTGTAGCTTTGCCCGCTAAGCTCTGTGCTTGTTAGGTGTTCGCATTCTTGCCATAATGTGGTGCGATCCAGCGTGTGCCCTGTGATCTAGCTTGTAAGTCTCCGCGGCCCCCAGCAGTGTCACTTTGGCACACCCAGTGCTGCTGCCTACTGACAGCTATGCCACTCTGGTTTTTATTCTCTTGCGGGGGGGCGGGGGGAGTCTGCCAGTGACGCTGCATCTGGTTTTTAGCAGCCTGCACCCTGCAAAAAGCACATACCTGCGTGCACCAACCATGCTGTGCACATGTGTATTTCTTCCATCACCTTTCTCGTTGGCTTTCTTCTCTGTTTGACACTGCATCACCAGCTAATGTGTGCTTCTGTCGCTTTCCAAAGGAGCATTACAGTGAAAACATGTGCTTGAGCACCTCTTCTCCATACAGAGCTCTCTGTATGAGGCGTTAGATCACATCACTTCTTCTGTCTGTATTTCTTCTCTTACTTGCTGACGTTTTCAAACACGTACCATTTTTCTCACTGTCAGAAGTCACTGTCGAAAGTACACCTGTTGCTTTTTCTTTTAATGTAGAGTATAATTTATATACTTCTGGTATTCTATTATTATATATAGATTTAAATTTGAAATGACTTGGTGAGTTTTAACTTTTTAATATAACTAGTTTTCAGGGAACAAGCTTAAGGAGTTTGGATTAGATGATGGATTTTTAATTTGTCCCTTTCTTTGATGGTGATGACTTATTTTTATCATTAATAAGTAATTGCTGTGACTTTTAAGAAATCCTATTACTTCACTTTTTTTCTCATTCATCTTTGTACAAGTTCATAGGGATCAAGGAATAGTAATTCCACAAGCATTCCAGACTATCTTCTCTGTTGCTCCTGCAAGGTAGGGCTTTGGAAAGTTGGCGGTGACACATTAAACTTTGTCTTCGTGATGTTTTCACTCATCTTTTTCTTTAAGTCTTTGTGGTTTATTAAAAGCCAATTTTGTGGTTCTGTTTACTATAGATTATAATATCCCCTTTGCTGCCATAGTGCCAAGGACAGAGTTTTGTGTGTCCTTGATGGTTGCAGTAGAAAAGGAGAGAGAAGCTTGTCTTCTGGCCTTCCTCCTGTCCTGAACCAAGTCAGAAAAAAGTGTCATTGGGTTACTTTCTTTTTAAATGTTAAATTCTGAGGATTAGATGATGCATAAAATATGTGAGTGGCACATAGTTCCATTTCTACCTTCATCTGCTTTCTAATACTGTAGCTAATGTCTATCATAGAGGATTTAGATATTGAAGATTTGGAAATAAAGATTTTTCTTACCAATTATCTAGAAATGTATGTCCTAGCAAAAATAACTTACAGGATAAGGCTGAGTGGGAATATGAATATAGGCAATGATAAGTAAGAAATAGACTCTGTTTTCAAGGAGCTTGCTTTGGTAGTGGTGATGTACATGAAACTATAAATCAAGGTAGAAACTATATAATCTAAGGATGGCCCTTTGAGAAGGTAGCATTTAGGTTGAAGTTTGCAGAGATTAGGTAGGATTTCGAGAGAGGGAGGACAGACTCCGCAGAAGAACATTCAAGATGGAGACAATAGGAATGTGCACAGAGACGCATAACAGGGAGCAATTTGCTTTGATTTATAGCATAAGATATATGTAAAAAATAGTAGAAGATTAATTGCTTTAACTTGAGAAGATAATTTGGGCCCAAATCATAGATAAGCTTTAAATGGTTTGTATTTTTAGATAGTAAGAAACTATAAAAGGGTTTTAAGACATGAAAATGTTAAGGAACATTAAGTAGAAAAGTTGTTTTTGTGCAGTGAATCTAACCGTTGTATAGATTGTCTGAACAACAGATTCTCTTAATATGGTAGCAGTTTTGGTGATAAAACAGCGATGACTAGAACAAGGGTGACAACATAAATGGAAAGGGAGGGGCAGATCCAGGGTGAGTGGGACGGCCAAGCACTTTGGTGATCAGAGACGACCCTGGTTTGTGTCTGTCACCATGGCATAGTGATTAAATGCTTCTACTTTCAAATGTCTCATGACTTGGACAGTGCGTCATATGGTGGCCCTAAACATCGATGTACTTCGGTACGATACTGTGTGCTAATTGAGGGGAGAGAGGGATGTTGTTGGCATAAGACAGAAGAATATATATTCAGTTTTCAGAAATTCTTGTGATTATGATTTTATTAAATTTTCCTTTTTGGAAAGATTAAACAAAATTCTCTTACATGAATACCACAATCAAATGTTACAGGTTTAAAACCCCAACTAGGGGCGGGGTTTTTTTCCTTTTTAATGAGCACATCGGAGTTTTTTCATCTTCTACAAAATGATAGATGCTAAAGAGAATATACTATATTTCATCTTAATTTACATTTTTATTTCATTTAAAAGCAAAGCTTTGTCAGAAACTTTTAATAAAATCAGTGTAGTTTAGTAAGACATTTCCAAATAGAAATGCAGCTAGTGGCGGTTGAGAGTATCCTGTGTATCAGTGTATCAGCACCTTTTGGCTCCCTGGTCTTTTTGTTTTCTTTTCCCAATTGAAACTGGTGGCTCTAGTCACCTACTCCCCTTTTTAAGGCTTGGGAGCAGCTACGGCTGTGCTGTACATGGACTGTGTGAAGTTCTTAGCGCCCTGTGTTTCCATGTGCAGGCAGAGGGAGAGGACAGCCTGAAGAAGATGCAGCTGATGGAGCTTGCAATTCTGAACGGCACCTACAGAGACGCCAACATCAAATCACGTAAGAAAGAGACTGAGGCCCAGGCTCAGCCGCCCGCCTCCACTGTGTTGTCTGCAGACCTTTCTCTCTCAGCAGCGCCCCCCGGGACAGTTCCGCACAGTGAAGAGTCGAAACACTTGTCCCCTGATACGGGGCTCACAGTCCCATTTTTACTGCTTTCATGAATTGAGGACATCCTCTTTTAAACTTATGCCAGCATGTCTAAGTTCCAGGTTTATACATTTTGTATTGTTCTGAGGAAATTTCAACTTCTAAATTTAAGAGTTTTAGGAAATTTCCTATGCTGTGAACTACAGATTTCAGGCCTCTAGCTTATTTTATTACATTTGTGCAAAAGACACAAAATTTTCAAAACTTTGTTTTGAAAAAGCTATTTTGGAATGTATCTGAAAGCAATGACCCTTCTGTCGAATTCTGTCCTTTACCTTGCTTGCTTATTCCTCCAGTATTTTTATTTTTCTCTGTTGATTTCATATGTGAGTTCACAGAGCACAGTAGGTGATAGTATTTTTATTCCCATTTTTCCTTGTGATATATTTGTGCATGCTTTCATAAACTTGAAGAGGATTGCTTTTTCTCATATTGAGGCGATCTAAACTTTACACGTCTTTTATGTGAACATAATCTCCTATTTAAATGAGTGGCTTTTTTTTTTTTTTTTTTTGTAGACTTTCAAAGTCCTAACCAACTTTCCAAAATATAAGCAACTTAATGGGTTCAGAAGCGGTTGCTTTACAAGTGATTGGCTTTAGTTTATTCATGAGAATGAATATATCCTTAATAGTGTATATTTAGGAATGGGGCATTCTGAGTGGTTTTTTTCTATGAAGAAGTTAAATTCATACAGATGCAGGAAGTTTATATGGAAGTCGTAGATTGTTGACTAGTTTAGTACAATAAAAATCTTTTTTTTTTTTTAAATTCAAATCTTAAGCTACTCTTTAGAAATATACCAGAACTGTATTTCTGTGGACTCCCAATTCCAAAATATTTTTTAACATCTTTTAATGCAAGTGTTTCCGTGTGCTTCTGCATGTACCTCTAGTCCCATGAGACCTTAAAACCGTAGATATATATCAAATACATGAACTAAATATAACTTATTTTAATAGTCTCGTTCTTTTTGTTGTTTGTAGTGGCTTGTTATTTTTTGCACATTTATTCTTAATCACACTGGGAACGGGGAAGCTGTTTGCATTTGATCGGTGTGTGACCAGCGCATGTACTAATGATTTCCTTTTATTTTTCTTCTTTCCTGCTTTTCCTTTCTTTTTCCTACTTCCCTCTCATTTCCCATATTTTATACTGCTGTCTCTGTACTTCCTCCTACATTTCTTTGCTTACTGTAGCAGCCCTTGCCTTTTCTCTTGCAGCGACAGCCCAGGCTGCTCCGAGGATTATCACTGGGCCTGCGCCGGTTCTCCCACCAGCTGCCCTGCGTACTCCTACGCCAGCTGGCCCTACCATAATGCCTTTGATCAGACAAATACAGACCGCTGTCATGCCAAACGGAACTCCTCACCCGACTGCTGCAATAGTCCCTCCGGGGCCCGAGGCTGGCTTAATCTACACGCCCTACGAGTACCCCTACACGTTGGCGCCAGCTACATCAATCCTTGAGTATCCTATTGAACCTAGTGGTGTATTAGGTAAGTTGCCCTCCCTGTGCGGTTAGCAGTATTTTTCTTCGTAACATTTGTGCCTCAGACGTTGAAGTGATTGTATCGTTTTAGCGAGGCAAGACAAGGTGCCATTAGGAAGACCGAAGCCTGAATTTTGTTTTGTTTCGGCCTCTCTTAATGGGCCCCTTTAAAATAACTGCACCTTAAATTTGCTCAGATTCTCCTTGGTAACTCAAATCCACATTAAACAGAAAATACTTTCCACAATCGATGTCCCTGAGGTCATTCTGTGGTTGGCCCATCCCCTCCGTTGGCTCCGCTGCCCGCAGTGAGAGTCCTTCCATCTCAGAGATTTATTTAATTGTCAGCTAAGTTTTAAAATTCTGTGTGAAAGTATTTTGAGGTCTTTTTAAAACTGCTATTGTCTGTGTGTTTTCTAATATTTGTGATCACTTAAAATATGAAAAGGCCCAGGTCAGTTTGTTGGATTCCTCAGTTTTTCTCTTGTGTTGAACTTATAGTTAATCTTAAACCTAAGAGAAACTTTCTATAGTACAGTATGGAATGGATAGGCAAATACCAGGTCACTGTTCTAGAATCCTGTTTGAGGCAGAAGTAAAGATCATACTATGAACGCTTGGTTTTACATGAACAAAAAGTGGTGTGCTTGAAAAAGACATTACTGATGCCTTTTTTTTATAGAGTGGATTGAAATGCCAGTCATGCCTGATATTTCAGCCCATTGACTTGCTGGATGACGGACTAGAATACAGCAGCTGTTAGAACACGACCAGTCAGTGTGGGACAAACTCTTTCCGTGCTGCCCCTTTGTTTTACCAGACAGAATTTGAATACTTTTTTCCCCCTTGAATTGTATATGACCTTGGTGCTGCATGCATGCTGTCGACTCTTAGGACTTTGATCTTTACGGTTGTTGTTTTTTTTTCCAGCATTAATAATGATTTACAAAAATTTGAAAGTCTTTCATGAACCCGGACACTAAGATTTAAACTTGAAAACTCATTGTTCAATGAAAGAAAGCCACATGCCCTGTATGTTATCTGTGTGTGTGCATGCACTCAGGTGCCTTCTGTTTCATGAGCAGATCCATTTGATTGTACGTGGTTTCCGTTGCTCTCTAAACCGTTGTGTGGAGCACCATAGGTCAGAGTTCTGCTATAGAGCTGTTTAAAAGAGGCTTGTTTTCTGTTACACCTTTCTCGAAGCGTTTTTACAATAACATGTAACCTGTAACCTGTTTACGTTTTCCTTCCTGTTAACGCTCTGTCCCGCGGCCCCACGCCTGCTGCTTCCCCAGGGCTCCTCTCTGCTGCACGCACAGCGTCTGCTCGAGGAGTTAGTTGCTTCCTGCAGGGCTGGCACTCCGAGCCACCAGCTGCTGGCCAGCACTCTCAGTGCGGGGTGTTGCTGCTGTTGCCTCGTGGAGTGGTACTCTTATGAGACCCGTTTCTCTAAAATGGAAAAGGGCTGATGGACCAGCTCACTGCTTAGAAACAGCACGAGGCACTGCAGTTCCTCATTATAAAGTGATGTGGGTTTTGTTGTGTTGGGAACTTTTTATTTATAATACTTAATTATTAGACTGACAAAATTAAAAAGCAAAACATACAGATACCTAATTGGCATTCACAAAGTGAATAATAATGAGTACTAAATGACCAAAATCCATTCTGAGTCTTCCTTCTCGCTTTGCCAGCTAAGCAGTAAAACATGGAATTGACCACATGGAGAACCGAGAAAATTATTTCAAGTTGCTATAAGTTATAATAAATTTGCACACAGATAACATGCATGATAATATATCAAGTTTCACATCCTATTATTTTAAAATAAGCAGTGCCCTTCGAAACAGATGCAGACATGTGTGTTGGTGGTAGTGAGGAGATTGGTATTAGCATCAGATCTTCATTGATGACTAATTTTTAATTCCCTTCCTTTTATCTTTAGGTATGGCTTTCCCAACGAAAGGCTAAGAATTCAAGAACGGTCTTAACTGAACCCTCATCAGATCTGAATTTAACAAATGCTTAGTCTCAGCAGCCTCCAGGGGGGTGGGGGGAGCTTAGCCTAGCAGTCAGTGACTTACTTGCACTTTTTGCACACTGATAGAAAGTAAAAGTATGTTATTAATTTGGTTTAGTCTGTATCTTACCACATAACGGTGATTTATAAAGGAGTGTATAGTAGTTTTCTGACTGCTAAGTGTACTATACTGTTTGCTTTACTAATCACCTAATTCATTGCAGTTCATACTTATTGACTCAAAGTTTAAAACCACAATCTGTAGGCTGTAAGAATTGCTTTTAAACCTTTTTAAGTGATAAACTCTGGAAGTGGTCTTAAGGTTAGCAAATAATTGTCAGTATTAAACATGGCATTATTTAAGTGGTCCTGCTGCAAGAAAGGCACTTCAGTGAATATGTGACTAGTAAAGCTGAAATCTGTTTGCATCTCATAGAGTTCATGAAATGCTGTACCTTGGGATTGTGAATGAATGCATAAAATAGGTTAAGGCCAAGATGTTTGAAATGAATGCAATATTAATAGACGCATATATACGCAACATATTATGGTTAATTTTAAAACTACTGTGCCTTAACATGTTTCTTAAAATGAAACTTTTGTAGTAAATGAACCTTTGAAATCCATTTTGATAAACCTGCTGTTAATGTTTGTTTTCTTTTCCCTTGTGAATGTTTTCTAACTTTGTCTTGGTAATTGCAATTTAACTAGGTGCGGTGGCTACTAAAGTTCGAAGGCACGATATGCGAGTCCATCCTTACCAAAGGATTGTGACCGCAGACCGAGGTTAGTTTAGTTCTGCAGTTCTTGTTTATAAGAAATGCGTTGGGTGTCCGTGAAATTTGCAACACCACACCTGATGGAAAAACATAACTGCTTACCTGCACACCACGTCTTTTCTTCTTCTGAATTAATTTGTCATAGTTGACAGATTGAAGGGTTGGGATTCTTTTCTTTCCTTTTCTTTCCTCTTCTTTTCTTCCTCTCTCCCCTCCCCTCCCCTCCCCTCCTCTCTCTCTTTGCTTCTCCTTTCCCCTCCTCTCCTCTCCTTTCCTTCCTTTCCCTTCCTTTTTTTTCTGTGCTCCCTTCATATTTTAACTTATTAAATCCTATATTAGTATGTACTGTGATTTATTCCTACTAAAACATGAATTGGTCCATTTGGGGAGATATTAAATTTTGACATTGCCTTAATTATTCTTCAGTAATAACTTTTGCTAAAATATACCTTGTGATTGTTGTGAAATTTTGGGTTGGTTTTGCAAAATGAACTGAGCGGATGGTGCTTTAATGAGAGAAGTAAAGGAATATATGCCTCCTGTGTCCTTGTGGAGAAAACTGAAGATTTAGTTTCCATTTTCCTTTTTAATAAGATACTTGAGCCATTGTGTAAACATGAGGATGTGCGTGTCAAGCACTTAGCTGACATCAACAAAGTAAGGACTGTGAAGATAACTTTGATACAGTTGGGTTTTTTTTTTTAATGAAAGAGAAAATCAGTTCCCTTTTATTCTTACATTCTCTTGCCAAAATGGATCCTTTGATTTTTGTCATTTGCTGCTAAAATATATTATCTGAAGGTAAACTATCTCTTGAAGTTCTGTGGAGACACGAATCCAGCTTTGAATATCTTTTTTGACTAACCTGTGACTGGAAAATAAGTCTTCATTTTTCTCCTTTTCAACACTTGCAATTTGTGTCCTATATATGCCCTTGGACCCTTTTATAAATTATTTATGTTTATTGAGGAGTGTTATTTTCGGTTTATTGACATTGAATTGTTTTCTTAGTTTGTCATCACAAGGTAAGAATCTGAAGCAAGGTAGAAAAAGATTTTTTACAAGCTTCTATGGCACATTTCTTACTAATTAATTTGATTGAAGTTGCTGATACTAGTGGGAAAAGTGATGGATTTACACTCCTGTCCTACATCTTCTATGAATTATGAACAACCTACCTGCTTCACATGGTTCTCTCGAATACTGATGATAAATATTGGACACAACTGCCGTCCATGTCAGAATAAAATACTTTCCAAAGGCATTGATGATATTTATTTAGCATCATACATAATTAAAAGAGCCTTGAAGACTTCTAACTTATATATACGTTACTTGTGATTATTCAGTGAACAAAATACATAGGCCCCAAACTGCAAGCCCAGTGACGACCCGGGACGGTCGCACCAGGCAGGTGGGGCCCCGCCCCACTGGGTGCGCCACCTTCTCGAGGAATAAGCCTCCTCGTGGAGGGGGACAGCTCTTTTAAAAGTCACTTTCGATTTAAAGAAAGCCAATAATTCTGTGAGTAATGTGAAGCTTTTTTCACATCATTAATGTCTGAAATCATTTGAAAGAGCATTTTAAAGTGGTTTCTCTTCTCTTAACCTTTCCCTGGCTGCCCCTTTTAGGAGATTTCTTATCATTTTGTTTTAACACTATAATTATTGGCGACTCAATGCTCCAGTGCCTTGAGATAGTTGAAAATATCAGGAAGATTTTATAGTCTTTGGAAATGACGTCACATTCCATGCATGGCTCTTTCGTAGTTATATGTGTTTTGATTAGTCTTATCACTTTTATTGAAAATGCAATGTCAGCAAACCGAAAAGCTACCTTTTTTTTTTTTCCTTTAAATAACAGAACACTTGTATACTGCTGTTACTATCACTGTATGCACTCATTGGGTCTAAGGGAGATGTCTGAAGTCCTTCATTTAAATTATTTTATGATACTACTGTTTTCTCTATTTTTGAGGTTTTTTTTTTATTTTTTGAAGGGAAGATTAATATAAACATCCACTTTTAATGCAAGGAAACTCAGCCCTTGGACGTATAACCATGTAATTTTACTTATGCGTTTAGAGTACTGCATGGTTGACAAATACCTAGTTCTTTACTAAAAATAAACCCACTTTGACACATATTTCAAAACTGAATTTGAAGCCTGTAAAAGACCAACTGACTTGTTAGTTGTCACAAACCGTAAGTGGTTTTGCACGGCTGACACACCGTGTACTGTGGGAAGGCCAGGACTCGGCAGAGGACGTGTTCTAGCTGGTCTGGTGATATGGAAGCGGTAGCGCTCTGTCTCTTCCACACACAAAACACAGAATCCGAGTTTTTCTGAGTAATGATTTTATAAAAACCATTCACATAATTTGTATAAGAAACTTAATACACTTTTAATCAAAATCTTAAGTAATATCAAAAATGCTTTAAGATTCTGGATTTGGGGAGTGACGATGAAGTGGTATGACTACATCTTATTAAATATTTATTTTCTTCTTTAATTTTGGAATAGCAATTTTTATTTTAAATAAAATTCCACTTATTTTTAAGAAATTCAGGGAAGATTTGGTCACATTGAAGATACAGTATTTTTGTAGTATTTATAAACTATCCTAAATGATAGACTCTAGAAAGCATTTTTGTTATGTGAAAGTAAACCAGTCCATCATATAGATCATTTAAAACGACTCTGTGAACATTATACGTACTGGGTCTTGATTTATGAAGTGGCACGGAATCTACCTTTGCACTGAATAGTTTTTCATTCACATCTCCTCTGCCTTAGTCACAATGGCAACAGTACAGAAAAGTCTGTCAAACCTCAGAATATAGTAGAAATAATTAAGCTGTTGAATGAGTCTTAAAAATCATACTACTGTTAAGTGGACCAAGTTTGGTGAAGCAGAACGTGACAGAGGTTGCTTATGAGGAAGGAACAACTCGGGCACTGGGCACGATAACTTTCCACTTGAGAACTACTTTGTGTTTTACTGTAATTTTTTTTAATTTTTTTTGTTCTGTTTGTTATTTTGCAAAAGAAAATAGTATTTACAGGTGGCTTCTTTTAAAATATAAAATATAAAGCAGGAATGTATATGAAATGTCAGATTTTATTGTATTTGCAGAGTATTAGCTTTGAAATTGAATAAAGAAAGCTGTTTGTAGTTTTAAAATGCCTTATTGGTATCAATTAGAAATTCCTTCTATTTTTTGATGTACTTAGAGCTTTTTGAGTATAGAATTTTAAATGGCAGGATTTTACAGTGTTTACATGCCAGTGCATTTTATAAGTGTTCTATATGTGTAAAATAGTATTTTCAACTGGAAAGTGCTGGCCAGCGTGAAAGGCCTGGCTGTTTTCTGGTTCCCATGATGTTGCCTCCACTGCTAGACGACAGTTTAGTATTGCTTTGTATCATAAGGCCAAGAAGTTCCATGTTGTTTGTAAATAGAATAATTGAAAAAGCAATAAACATTTATTGAACAAAAGAAACCTTGTTTGGCCCAGAGTTTATGTTGAACCAAATTGTTCAGAGAAATTTAAATTTCTTTAGATTCATTTCTGTTAATCATCAGTTATTAATAATCACATCCATCATTAATAGTTGCTTTAATGCTTGCATCTGAGAGAATACTAATGCTTAATAGCAGTCAGACACTGATAACTCACTGACTGTTTCAGAATCCTGTTTATCAAACCTATTCATTGTTGTTCTCCAGTTTCCTCCATTGACTGCTACTAACTATTAGTTGTTAGTTGTATTTTATTTCTATTTTTTCTCGTTAACCAATTTTTGTTTTTGTTTTTGTTTTTTTTTTTGTGGGAGTGGGCTCTCCTTCATTTGTTCAAATCATGATATGAAACTGTCATGATTTTTTATTGTATTCTGTAGATGGTGTCAATCAGTTTGTCAGAATTAAACATGCTTTTTTTTATTAGTTGTGATTAGTTTTTCATGTTGTCATTAAGCCGTCACTAGCTGAAACTAATCTCTTCTCTATCTTTTCTTTTCTTTTTTTTTTTTTTTTTTTTTTTTTTTTTTTTTTTTTTTTTTTTTTTTTTTTTTTTTTTTTTTGTTTTTACCCACCCAGCTGCTACCGGCAACTGTCGTCCTCCATTCTGACCTCTGACCCACACACCCAATGATGACCTGACCATGCCTGCCTGCTGATCAGTTAACTGGTAATCGCCTTTGCTTGCCTGTCGTCAGTGCAGCGAGCTGAGGCACTTGNACTAGCTGAAACTAATCTCTTCTCTATCTTTTCTTTTTTTTTTTTTTTTTTTTTTTTTTTTTTTTTTTTTTTTTTTTTTTTTTTTTTTTGTTTTGTTTTTTGTTTCTAACCACCCAGCCGCCACCGGCAACTAACCTATGACCTTCTGACCTCTGAACTCTTCACCCAATGATGACCTGACCATGCCTGCCTGCTGATCAGTTAACTGGTAATCGCCTTTGCTTGCCTGTCGTCAGTGCAGCGAGCTGAGGCACTTGTCCGTTCGTCTTACCATCTAACCAAACAAAAGACAAAGAAATTGTTATCCTCCGACTCAGCTTTTGGTTTTCCTTTCTGTTTGGGTGAAAGTGGTTCTAGAACCTGCACTGAATAGTAGTAAAGCAATAAGGCCCAATTCATCCCACAGCACTGATCATCTTCTCACGTCCTACCCTAAGCGAACGGTAAGAAGGCCTCACTTCAGAAGGGGAGACAGATGGCCCTTAACTACTCAGTGACAGAGGCAGTTACTGTGAGAGACTTGTAGGAACCTTCTTCTCATAGCGAGTCACAGCTCTCTGAATGTACTGTGTGATGATGCATCATGCATGAACCTTTGGTCAG